AATGGATTGTAGATGCTTGGGCTAACATGTCTGCTGGCACTGTTGTTCGAGCTTTCGCAAAAGCCGGCATCATTTCCGAGGAGCCGCACGGCATGGAAAGTGACTCTGACAGTGAAGAAAGTGAACCTGGCATGTTTGATGGAGATTTAGCGCAGCTGTTCAATTCAGACACAGAGGATGACTTCGATGGGTTTGATTGATGATAAAAATGTGAGTACCAAACTTTGTTTTGCTCCTGCTTTATTTTTAAATACGCACACTTGTATGCTTGTGTGTTGTTGATGATGACGATTATTGGTAATAAAAATGTGAGTAAGGTACCGAACTCAGGTTTGCTCCCGCTTTATTTTTAAATACGCATACGGTACTTGTATGCGCCCTATGATCCAGTGCACCTTATGTGTGTGTTAAATACAGTAATGGCACACATAACTGAGACTGCGCCTTTTAGTACAGTGTGTCTTATGGTCGTGAAAATACGGTAGTTATTATTCATCTCCAATTCTCTTCTACAATTTGTCTTTTGTCCTTCTTTCTTTGTTAGGTAGATAAAATAGAAGAATAGGATTTAGAATTCAAAATAATTATCACGATAATTCAAAATACTGTTTGGGCTTCTTTTGTAGGTATACAGTGGAAGTAACACAAATTATGTCGCTTTTATCGGCACCTAGTAATTAAAACCTTAAAGAACACACCTAAAGGCTGTCAGCCTCTGTAACCATTTGCTTCCAAGTGACTAAATTTATACCCACATTCCAGAAGTGTGTGATTTACCATCAGCTTGAGAGCAATTTTATGTGTTTTGGTACTGCAAACTGTGGTCCAACAAGGCTACTGGAATAATGACTGCTGCATGCTGAAACACCAGCCCATTTTCTTTCTTTAATAGTCAGCTCTACAGCTCTGACTTGCCACTGCTTGCTACATGGTAGTTACTCATCTAGGTTAAACACATGAGAAGTTGTTTCACTGAAACAAGTCCTACCAAATTGCCAACTGTGTTTATCAACCTCACCTTAACATCAGCTTCAGTTTTGCTTAAGCTTATCTGTACTTTGATATGCAAACTGTTGCATGCTAACAACACTTTCTAAAAGGTTACTAATAACACTTATAGGTGCAAAAAACACTGGCAATGGAAAATACAGTATTTCTGTTTTTGCTAAATTTTATACATCTGCAAAGACTTTAAATTTTCAGCGTGGGTTCTTAGTCTCATTTTCTGAGCCTTTCATTGGTGATTCACGTCTTTAGTCCACTCTGTATGCTCGTATGGGTCTAACTGTTTCACTCCTTTGATTTTTTCCTCTTGCCTTTTTTTTTGCCTTTTCGTCAAGTCTTTGTACGGACCTGCCGTGTTTTCCTTCGTTTTGTACATAACTGTTTCTGGGGCAAACAAAATGCAAGTATGGATTAAAACCTCAGAATTAATGGTTACCAGTGCTGGAAATGCTAGCGCTTGATGCAGTGTTTTGATTTTCCTGCCACTCGTACCTACAATGCAACGCGCGAAAGTCACGTGGTCTGTCGATCTCTATAGAGACAGTAAACAGTAACAACATGTAGCAAAGGTCGTCAACCAACTGCAATGACTTAAGTTTTTAACTACATCAGAAACTCTTAAATTAGTTGACGAAAAAAGCAAAACATAAAAATTTTAAAAAACACATTCTTTTTTTAAACTGCAGGGTGCATTACTACAAGTGCTAAAATGCCTTTAAACTCGG